GCTTAGGTGCAAGCAGCTGCTTTGTAACTAGTGCATTACAGTGGTCTAATCCCAAGATTACAAGCGTGTGGACCAGAGTGGTGAGGGCCCCGCCATCAAGATAGGGCAATCCACCACAGATGGTAATAGGCAGAGCGGACCACTGACGCCATCTGGGTTTCCATGGTGAGTGCCGGGTCCAGATGTATTCCCAAGCTGCAAACCTCACTCTTCGCAGCAAGAGTCACCCCCCTGAAGGAGAGAGAGTTTCCCAAGCCGCCAATGGAGGGGCCGCCCACCTTCACGACCTCCGCCTTGTCTGGGCACTTCTGCCCTCTCCCCACACTCGGCTGTTATGTTTAGAGGTGCAGTGGCAGGTAATACTTCCACTTGGCTAATTAGGATTCTGAAGTACTTCAGTACCATTTTATCAATTATCTAAAATTCCAGATTATAAAGGAGCATCTGTTTTGACAAGATATTGAGATAATAATGTGTGATAGTGGTCCCTTTCGCAGCTTAGTTTTCGGTGGGGGTCATGGCTGCTCTTTCTGCTGTTATTACTGCCACAGCTATTATATTAGAGATGTATGGAACATAAAAGGTGATGTTTTAGGAGCAACCATGAAATTACCATTTCCAGTTTCATTTTATCTGCATTTACAAGGTGAAACATAGAGCAGCTAGAACTGTGAGGTTTTTTTTTGTTTTGTTTTTTAAGACCTTGATATCTCAAGGCCATTGACTGGTTCTCCTTGTTTGTGTCACTGTTTTATTTTTGTTTGTGCTTAATAGTGTTTGATGATAACTACAAGTCCCCCTTGGGATTTGCTAGAGCTGTGTTCAATTACAGACTGCTATTCAGTCACAGCTGCAAGAAGAATGAATGGAAATTGAAGGTGCCATGCACCCCTGGAAATGAGACCCCTGACACCACTCATTCCGTTTAATGACTCAGACTTGACTTGTCAATTGAAGCCAATGACTTTCATAACTCCCCTTGAGTACTGAGCCATGGAAAATAATGAAATGTTTTTGCAACTGGCCTGTTAAATTAACCTGCACCCTAACCACATAATGCAGAAAACTGGATTGCATTTTAATCTACCTGACATTACAATTAAATTTCATATTTAAAAAGAAGCTCGAGGCTTCAGATGTGTAATTGGAACATAACACCTTGAGAAAGGTCTGAACCTCTATTCTATAGGATCATCTCTCTCACACACACACACACAGTCACTCACTCACACACACACACACACACACACACACACACAGAGAGAGAGAGAGAGAGAGAGAGAGAGAGAGACAGGAAGAAAGGGATGGCAAGATACTCCCCAGAATCTTCCAGCCAGGATGGTCCCTAAATTTTGGAAGTTGTAGTATTAAACAGCAACAGACAAATGGCTGTTGCAAAGTATGTGTAGGATAGCTATACAACTATGTGACTGCACATGAATGGCAGAGAAAAATGGTGTGCACTATTATATAAGAGGCCTTGAATTTTGAAGTGCCTATCAGTATCAAAGACCCATATGGTCCCTTCTAGCTCTGCAATTCTAAGATGATGATGATGATTGTGATGGTTGTTGTCACTGTTGTTGCATTATCACTACACAAGAATACAGTGGTATGATTGTGCTGGCAGAGCAAAGCAATTCTAAAAATGAGGGCAGCACAAACAAAACTTTGAAACTGGACTTTGGATCCACACCAAATTTGGCACAGTTGTAGCTGATGTGTCAAATTTCAGGAGGTGTAGGCAAATGGTTTTCAAGTTATGATTTTAAAAATAAAACTGCCCCCATACAGAAACAAGCAATCTTTAAATGCCCCCAGATTTAAAACAGATTGATTAAAAAGACCAGTCTTGCTTATCTTGAAAGAGAACGGTTGGTCCACCTGCTTCTTTTAAAAAAAATGGAACTAGGCCAGCTTCTGGGGCTGAACTATTGATTTTCAAAAATGGTCATTCAAAAGAGAAAAGCAGCCACTTTGTTCTAAACTGAGCATGTGTGGAACAGGCTTACCAGTGAAACTGTTGCAAAATAGATACATTTTGCATCTTTGTGGTCTAGGAAGGGAGATGTTTGAAGGGCAATGAAAGGTCATGGAAACAGTCAAAAGACAGCTAATTTAACATGGCCAAATATTCTGGCTCCTGGTATGTAAAAGTTGGGCAAATTCTAAATGATGAAAATTTTAAGAAACAGGTGGTTCAAAATGAAGATACAGCTGTTTTATTATTGAACTAGAGGCCTGTAAAGCATATATTCAAGAAACAATTATGACATATGCTTCAAATAGGAGGTGAGATAGAATTAATCAGGAAGAAAACTTGTGAAAGACGGTGAAGCCTTTTCTAAGTCGATTTGCAAAATCCTATTCTTCAGATATTTATCAAAGGTCACAGTGTGCTAAATATGAATTAAATAATGTGCACTCTGCTAAAGCTGAATTTGCATTGATATGTGTATGCCAAATATATTGGGGAAAGTGGTGAGAAAGCGGGTAAAATTTTGGCACCTTGTGTAAAGCAACAAATAAATGAAATTATATTCTCTTGATAAAGGGGAATCAAAATAGTTCTTATATAACATCAAGAGAAATAAATTTAGAACTTCTAAAATACTATAAATTGTACAGAAAAAATGTGGCACTATAGATTGGGATACTGAATTTGTCTTTTGACAGTTATCTCTTCCACAGCTAAATACACAGGAAAAGGAGATCCTTTCAAGAATTTTAGAGACAGAATAAATTTAAAAGGTTATCTTGAAAATGAAAGATGGGGAGAAACTGGGACCAAATGGTTTCCCAGTAGAAGACATATGTGGATCTTCTGGCCCCTAAGCTTTTTTTGCTTCTATCAAAATGCCTTTGAATCAGATGTCTTCTTGACAACAGTGTAGGATACATGATTTTCTCTTATGTCAAAGTCTGATAAAGATCAGTCTCCTTAATACAAAATGCTTATAATCTGTGGTTTTTGCTAACAAAGTCCAAGCTGTAATATCTACAATAGTATATCCAGGTCAAGTGGGTTTTACTCAACATAGACAGCAACCCATTTTTTATTGGTAACTAATTTGATAGGGATGAATGATTATAGATTGGATTCAGATGCACTTATTTCATTGGATGCTGAAAAAGCATTTGATAAAATATATTGGCAATTAATGTTTGTAACATTAGAAAAAAATGGATTGTCACAAGAATGCATAAAATAGATTAAAAGTTTGTACCTCTACGCTAAGTCACAAGTAAGGGTTAATGGAGTTCTTTCTTATCCTTTTTCTTTGGAGAGAGATACAAGAGTTGTCCCTTGACTCCATTGTTGTTTGATTTATGTTTGGAACCATTGGTATGTCCTATTAAACATAAAAAAATGAGCTATGGCTTTGCTCATAAGCAGGCAGAATTTAAATGAGCTTTATATGCAGAATTTAAATGAGCTTTATTTATTAGCACAGTATATATATACTGGAATATAATTGATTATTTTGGTAGAATCTTAGGATACACAATTAATTGGTCAAAATCTGAGCTAATGCCCATGGTTATTAAAAATATTTGGATTGTATAGTAAATGGCAATTTTGTTTGTGTCCTCATGTATTAACATAGCTAGGTATTTTGATCCAAAAATATGTATCTTATGGAGCAGCAGCTTCTCTGAATGTTAAGCAGAACTTCTTTGTCTGGAATGTGCTTAGTGGGAGACTATAGTGGAACCTCTACTTATGAACGTCCCTACCTATGAACAACCCAAATTACAAAGAGCTCCGTTCGCAAAATTTTGCCTCTACTTGCAAACAGAGCTTCAACGTATGAATGAAAAAGGCATGGGGAAAGAGTGGGAAATTTGAATTTGCTAACTGTTGGTGGCAAAGAGGCTGCTTCTTTGGAGTTCTTTCACCCCAGTGGTTAGGAAAAGCAAGGCTCAGTCTCCTGGGCTTCCAGTGCTGCTGCTACCGCTGCCGGGAGGCGAGCCACCAGACCATCCCAGCTAGGCTCAGCCTCCTGGGCTTCCAGTGCTGCCACAGGCTTTCCTGGGGCTTGCCACAAGTGCTACCTTTCTCTGCTGCAGTGCGGGTTGTCTGCCGCCATGGGAGGCTTTCCCAGACTTCGCCACAAGTGCTTCCTGGCCAGGGTTTCTGCACCGCTGCCACAGGCTTTCCCAGGGCAGGATGGTGGCAGAGAAAGGCGGTGCTTGCAGTGAGCTCCGGGAAAGCCTCCCATAGCGGCAGACAACCCGCGCTGCGGCAGAGAAAGGCGGCATTTGCGGCGAACCCCGGGAAAGCCTCTGGTGGTGGCAGAGAAGCCCTGGCCCGGCAGCAGTGGCTGGAGCCCGGGAGGCTTCCTGGCAGCAGCAGTCGCAGCGATGAAGGTAAGGTGCTGCTTTTTGCTTTTTAAAAACTTTGTTTTTGTTTTTTGCAGGGTGGGATTGGGCTGGTGGAGTTATATTTCTGTTTATTTTTGGATTTGTTTTGATTTTTGCAGCCCCAGGGCTTGCAGTTTTTTATTTTATTTTTTGAGGTATTTTTTTCTTTGGCCAGAATGGATAAATCAGTTTTCAATGCATTCCTATGGGTAATGGTGCTTCTACTTATGAACATTTCAACTAACGAACATCATCTGGAACGGATTAAGTTTGTAAGTAAAAGTTCCACTGAATTTTATCCTGACAACCTGTGATTTGAATGAGGGAAGGTGACCACTTTCTAAGTTCATAAGCCATTAATGCATTCATGCTACCTTGAAATATATTATTTAAACAAGGAAGTGAAATACACATGGAACAATATAAGTGAGGTTCAAATTACCTTCTAATACAGAAATGTTTCAAGGTGCTGTTGTATATCTTATGGAGAGCTAGCTCAATCTGTTTGCTGCTCCTTAACTTGTATTTTTCTGTTTACAGCCATCTTAATCTAGTCAATCATCTTGTTTGCTGTATATTTTTCTAAAAGGATTAATGTGTCAATGGTGAGTTAGTCTTTCTTTCTTTCTTTCTAGCCAGTGAGACCTGCAACGATTTCCACCCCATGTTCTTTACTCATGACAAGGCATTTGAAGAGTTCTTCTGCATTTGCATCCAGCTGTTGAATAAGACATGGAAGGAAATGAGAGCAACTTCTGAAGACTTCAACAAGGCAAGGTTATGGTGAGGGAACAGAGCTTGGGAGTATTACCTTTTTGGACTACAATTTCCTGCTGGAGGATTCTAGAAGTTGTAATCCAAGAAGCTTAGGTCTTCCAAGTTCTGGGGAGGGAATATTTTGAAACATGTCCCTTAGTTTTCTTGTCTTATTCATATCTGTCTTTAGGATTTAATTCATATTTTGGGGGAAATGATAGTACCGTTGAGACACTGTACCATCTTAGAAATGGACTTGAGGCAGTTATTTATTTAAAAGCATATTCACATCAAAATCTTCTTACACATGGAAAATGTAAACGTTGGAAGGTTTCTGGCATTCTTACTGGGACAAAGGTTGGTTGTGTCATACATTTCTTTCAACAGGAATGTGATCCGTGTATGCGTTCTTACTGTGAGATTATCTAGTCCAGTGAGGAGATTGGACCACATGCATTCTCTGGTCTGAATTCTCATTTAGAAAACAAAAAGTACTTATTTACATTAGCCACAGGCATTTTTATAGAACTTCAATTTGGAAAAAAAATGTGACAACACAAGAGGGATATATGCATTGCTAATACTGTTTCTTCCTCTGAAATTCTATATAATTAAGGGGATAACGTGCAACAATTTTTAAAAAATATTCTTCTTCTGTCACATACAGTGATTACTAGTACAGTGGTGCCTCACACAACGATGTTAATTGGTTCCAAAAAAATCAACGTTGTGTGAAACATCATTCTGTGAAACACCATTTCCCATAGGAATGCATTGAAAACCGGTTAATCCGTTCCAATTGGAACGGATTGCCATCGCTGAGTGAAAATCCCCATAGGAAACATCGCTGTGTGAAACAATGTTTCCTCCATTGGAATGTATTGAAGCCGACTCAATACATTTCAATGCCTTTGCGAAGTCCTTTTTCGCTCCTGTAAAAGTGTCTTACAATGTTTGGAAGCCGTTTTAAATGGTTGCAATGGTTAGCCCACCTCTTGAAACCTATGCAAACTGATTTTGGTGTTGTTCTGACACTTCGTTAATTTATGGTAATTTTTTGTTTTCCCCCCTCATTGAACTCCATGCATTTCAATGAGGGGGAAAAACAAAAAATTACCATAAATTAACGAAGTGTCAGAACAACACCAAAATCAGTTTGCGTAGGTTTCAGGAGGTGGGCTAACCATTGCAACCATTTAAAACGGCTTCCAAACATTGTAAGACACTTTTACAGGAGCGAAAAAGAGACATTGTTGTGTGAAAATCCCCTATAGGAAACATCGCTGTGTGAGGCGGCAAATTTAACAGAAAAAGGCATCGTTGTGTGAATCCATCGTTGTGTGAGGCACCCGTTGTGCGAGGCACCACTGTATAATCACTGTAGATTGCTAAAACTCAAGTAGACAGAATACTGTTCTTGTTAAATATGTAGAAAATTTCAGCAGCTAATTGGTTCTGAAATATCTGAGGAGGTGTTGCAGCACATAGTATTTTTACAAGAGATTTGAACGCAAATTAATACAGTACTTTTTGCTCTTCAGAGCTGGATAGAGCTTGCATTTTATCCCCATTCTTGGTTGTTACCACTCCTATTACTGGGCTTCATGGACTCGAAACAGTATCTAGTTGACTTGTTACCACATGTGCTGGATAAAGACATTCACTAGATTGTCCTTGAACAGTTGTTGGTGCGTGGCTGCCAGGGTAATGGACTTTCCTTCCAGGCTCCAAAGGGTTTCCTGTACCTCTGAAGTTTTTTGTTTTGTGTGTGTGTGTGTGTTTTGGGGGGGTGAGGGGGACAGGACACGGAGCTGCATCTGGGAGGGGAATCTCTCCCTGTCTTGGTTCCATTGGGAGGTGAAGCTCTATCATCAAAGCTACAACTTTTGTCTTTATTTTGATTAATTGTTTTAAACTTGGCACTGAAAATGCAGTAAAATAATGAAAGAATGTATAAAACTCTGAAGAGTTTAGAATACATTGAGGGGAGTACTTACACTTAATTTCTGTGCATCTACAGCAGTTTGATTATAGGCCTTTAAGTACCTAGTTACAAAGCAGCTGCTTGCACCTAAGCAAACTAAAGTGCATCTTTTTTTCTCTTATTTTGGATTTCTTATTTAGTGCCCCCAAGAACATGGCACAGATCTCAAAGTATATAGTACATTGCCAGGCCCAAGTTCTCTTGATTTCGTCCTTCTAGGGTTAAGAGGTTCTCATTATAGGGGTTGTTGTTCTTATTGTTCGTTTATTTTGTTTTCCCTTGATTTTTTTGCTGTCACCTAAGCTTTAATGACCATTTTCATATATTTAATGAATATTTCCATACGAGCCATTTGTATACGATTAAATGAGACATTGTGTGAGGTACTCCCATATCCGATTTTAATGCGATCACAGTATATTGGCTTTTGGCTCCTGGGACACAAAATTCCTTCTGGAAGCTACTCAGCTAGTGTAGGTCTTTAATCATAACTGAAGAAGGAAAGCTCTTCCATTTGAGTTTTCATTAATCAAACTAAATTGTCCATTCTGATCTGGCAGTAGCAGGCATGTTCCAGGCTGCTCCAGCTTCTATGCTCATTCATGTTTTTCATTGCTGGGAGGACAGGTATCCTTCCTCTGTGGTTTGGCTGTCAGCTTCCCCATTACTTCAGCTTTTTAAAAAAACTTTATTCCCAATACTGGAATAAATTGAATAAATTGTTGTCTTGATGTGCCGATTTTGAAAAAAAAAAAATCTCATGTGGCCTGAAGCACTTTATAAGTAGTAAGAAGTACCTGGAGTTCATTTTCTCCTTTTCTCTAATCTTTTACTTTTAAAAATCTGGCCTTCATTAAACTTGTCATGTTTTCTTGGCTATAGCCATGACAGTAACTTGCACTACAAAAAGGCATTGAACGTCCCTTCCTTTTCACAGGACATTCTTGCTGGCCCTTTGCTTTTACTCTTCATGCTGAAAGGGGAGAGCATTGACTTTTGGATTCCTTCTGTTTTATAGTGCCATACCTGGGTATATGAATTATTCATATCGCCTGGGTATTGTAAGGGGACGAAGATGCACTTGGTTGACTAGACACATGGAGGGTAACTGTGGGTTGTCTTTTTAAAAGGTGACCTGAGGGCTAATTTTCTATGCCAATTTTATAGAAGGTACTCTGCATGCAAGGTTTGACAAACATGTCATTTCCAGTTCTTGATGCATCTAGTTATACACTTAGTTAGCATGTGTGTAGGTAAATAATAGGGAATAATTGTCCATGAACCAGGCTATGGTACATATGTGTCCTCTATCAACTAATTCATAAATGATTACTGCACAAGACAAGAAAACATATTAACTTGTCTGCCCACATGGAGCAAATCCATTATGCAGTAAGAGAAAGATTCATATGCAAAGTCAACCTGGCTTCTGTCCATATTCTTCAAAAGCCTAAAAGTAGGCTTTTAACAAAGATGTTGTCATGGTTATGTGGTGTCAGGTTGGAACTGACTTACAGTGACCATGGTAAGGTTTTTAAGGTACAGTAAGTGAGATATTTAAGGAGCAGTTTTGCCAGTTCTACACCCTCAATGAGTTTCCATGGCACAGCCAGGATTTGAACCCAGGTCTCCTGAATTCTAATCCGTCATTTTACCCAGTATACTACAGTGGGTATCACCTTTTAAAAGATGAGCCCCCTACGAAAGCAAAGTATTTTATATTTGTTTACTCCTCAGAGAGTAACTATCTTTTCTGTAACCGGTTCTAATAATATATGGTTTATTTTTACTGGCAAACTCGTGTGTAATTTCCATTTTAAAATAGTAACACTGCCAAATACTGTCAAGGAAAGTAAATTGGAATTATCTCAGAAATGAGGGAGGAAAATATGAGGTACCATTGCTTCATATATCCCTAACAGTTTAATGTGGTCCAAAAGCAGGGGCAAACAGGATGGGTAGAAATGCATTATTTTCCACTAAATGCTTTTCCTTTTGTCATAGTTTAACCCCAGAGACTGCCAAAAATGCTGACTCTTCTCTTTTACTCTGTAGTGCTGAGAATAGACCACATATACATTCTTGCTCCATAAGAAGAATGCTCATTCGTGTGTGCATGCACACTCGGACGTAGAGGTCTCTGTATGGGTGCAGAAGAGGACACACTCATCAATTTCAAATCAAATCAGATTTTGTAATTGCTCTACCACTCATATATAGGAGCCAATTTGTGGTAATGCCCAGGATATCTTTTTCAAAATTCCAAATGTGTCCAGGGCTTAGAAAGGGGGATGGGAGGGTTCCCATGCTTCAAAAAACTATATTTGTCATTCAAAAAATTACCCACTTATTACAATGAAATGAAAGGAAATTCATAAACCATCCCAGCCTCCACAGAGTTGCTGGTGGATTGAAGACTGGTGTACCGCCACCATGCCCTTGTCCCTTGGCCACCTCAACTTGGAACCAGACCCCTGTCAAAGGATTATGAGCGGTTAACATGTCCTTCTCCTAAGATGCAAAACACTGGGTCCAGGGCTTCCTCCACTCTCCCCACTCATCTCCCTCAGATCTTGTAGAGGGAGATAAATCCTCTTCCACTTCATCCTCTCCGCTGCTATTTATGTGGGGCTGTGGCCAGCTGGGCCTAGCCCCACCTCCTTGCACAGGTATGCTTCATTCCCAGCTCCTCCCCCCACCTGAAGCTCCCACCTCCCTCTTTGTACATTGCTGGTGCCCAGCAACTGGAGTCTCTGTTGGACCCACCGTGGAGGGGCACCTGGAGCATCCCCCTCACAATCTGTAATTCAGATTAAACAATAATCATGAAATTTATTCTCCTTTTAAAATAGACTATGATTTCCTAACATTTGCCATCTGTTATTTCGTTTTGAGTCTTTGTTCGATATTTACTTTAAATAATAGTTGCTGAAACTAGAGTGCATGATGGTGTTTTAAAATGTACCTGCTGTGAATCAATATTTAACTAGGTTATGTACCTTTAGTAGTTTAAGCAGGTAACATTTTTATTT